CGCCACCTCTTGTGGCAGTTAATTCCATGTGTTAATCACTCTTTGGATGAAGAAGTACTTCCTTTTATCTGTTCTAACCCGACCGCTCAGCAATTTCATGGAGTGCCCTTGAGTTCTTGTATTGTGAGAAAGGGAGAAAAGTACTTCTTTCTCGACCTGCTCTATCCCATGCATGATCTTCTAAACCTCGATCATGTCACCCCTCAGCCGTCGTTTCTCCAAGCTAAACAGAGGCTGCTTCCACAGCAGGCATCGTGGGAGGAGGCAGGAACAGCAGCCAGACGCTCCGTCCCCATGTCGCTCTCTAGGGTTACCAGGGGGATTGGGGGGGGCGTTCCAAACCCTACCCCCAAGTGCGACCCCTTCAGCTGATTGGCAGGGAGCATGTGGCCCGCCGATCAGCCGGAGGGCCCTTTAAATCAGGCAGGAGGGGGAGGGGTGGGTGGTCGCGCTTGGGGGCAAGGCTTGGGGCGTGGCTTCCCCCACTGGCCAACCCCCCAAAGTGGAGGAAACCCCGCCCAGACCTGGTGGCTGGGGACCCTGCTGCTCTCTGCTGCCGGTTGGGAGGGCCTTGCAGCAGCCACCCATCAGACGCCCCCCCCTTTAATCCAACCCCAAGGGGAAAGACCCCCCACCCCAAGGCACACAGGGTGCGCTCAAAACGAGCTCAACGTCTAGCAGATGTTCCTGCTTCCGTGGCGGTCTTCCACGAGGGACAAAACCCCGGAGAGGGAAGTAGCGGCGGGAAAGGTTTATGAGGCTGGGAACGGGGCAGAGCTTTCCGGGGGGGGGGGGGGACACACCTGCCCTTTGGGCATTCCTCATCTGTGGGGGCTCCAGCCTTTCTGGCTGCAAATACGGAGGATTCCTCCTTAGCTTCACCGGGGAAAGAGGCGGGGCCGAGAAGAGAAGGGAGGCAGTGGGGATGTGGTTTAGCCCAGATTCTGAGGGTGGGGTGGGGCCAGTTAGCCTGTTGCAAAAAAACCCACCCCAGGACATTTGTGCCACAGAACATTTGTTGCTGCTGTTTTTCTAGTGACCTCTGTTCCATTTAAACTATATCAGAGCAAATCCAGTCAGCCGTCCACAATATGCATGAGGAAAAGGGGGAAATATACATGTTTACGTAACGTGTAGAAAGAGAGGGGGAGAAATCCTCACATTGCCTTGCTTTATATGAGCATAACTCTCTTTCCGCCCGATAGGACCATTTAGGGAGGTGGCGGGGGAGGCACTTGGGGGGGGGAGGAACGGCGCGGTGAGGGTTACAGAGCGGTTGTGGAGGCCACGCTGGCTACGAGGGCCCCCCCACTCCTTGCCCTGCCCCTCTCGGGCGGCAGTGCCCCAGTGCCCCTAGCCCTTCCGGTACTTGTGCTGTGCCTCTGGGGGGGGGGCTTGACTCTTCCCCCCTCTGCTCCCAGGACCGTCCAGTTCCGGGCCCCTGCAGGCCTCCATCATCTGCTGCTACATCATGTACCTGACCTTCTCCGCCCTCTCCAGCCGGCCGCCAGAGAAAGGTCTGAGTCCGCCTCACCTCTCTTTGCCTCCCAGGGGGCTCCGAAGGGCCGGATCCGCAGGACTGCTCACTGCTTGTCACCTTTCTCGTCCACAGTGCAGTACCAGGGACAAAACCTCACCATTTGCTTCCCCACTATTGGTAAGGATGGATTGCAGGTGGAGGATACCATGCTGGCTGTCCTGGGAGCTGGAGTCATGTACGCCTGCGTCCTCTTTGCCTGGTGGGTACTGGCTGGTGTGTCTCCTGGAGGGCTCCCGAGTGAGGGAGAAGGGCCGGGCCGGAGGTGGCTGGAGGAGGGGGTTTGGTTGAAGAGCCTGTCGCCGCCTCTCCCCTTCCCCTGCTCACCCCAAGGCTTGGGAGAGGTGGGACTGTGAAGCATTCCTGTCCCAAGCATCTGGGCTCAGAGACGTGGCCCTCCTGGAGAGCCTCTCCCTTTCATGGTTCACCGCAGCCCCCCCCCCTCCCATTCCGGAGGCACCTGCGGAACTGACCCCCGCCGCCTCCTCCCCTCTGGAGCATGGAATTTCCCCGCTCCTGAGTGTCCTGTCTCTGCCCACGGGGGTGTCTATCTGGGGTGAACTCACCCGGCTGCTCCCATGGGGGGCTGGCATTCTGGGAAGGATCCAGCGCCAGCAGGCAGAGAAGCCAGCCGCTGCGCCAGGGGGGGAGGTGGGGGCTTTCACTGTCCTCACCCTCTTCCTTCTGGCTGCAGCAACGAAGCGTCCCTCCTGGCGGAGACGTTTGGGCCTCTGTGGATGATCAAGGTCTACAGCGTGGAATTTCAGGTGGGGCTCTCTGGGGCCGGGGGGGGGGAGCTCTTTCGGGAGCTCTGGGGCTGGAGTTTTAGAGTCCTTCTTGGGTATGTTCTGGACACAATCCTTAGTTTCACCCCTGAATGACACTTGCAGACATGGGCCAGATGATCTTCCTGCACCCATCGCTCCGTGTCAGGATGGCTGGATGGGGTTGTGGTGCCACCTCCACCCGCGTCACCAGAGGCGTGCCTTGTTTCCTTCGCTGCCAGAAGGACCCACGCCTGAGGGGGAGGCGGGGGAGGGGGCCACAGTCCTGCACCTGGACGCTGTGCTGCTGCCCCCGCTGGGAGAGGAGAGCTCTAACTCTGAGCAGGGCTCTCTTCCTTCCAGAAACCCTCCTGCTGTTTCTGCTGCCCGGACAAAATGGAAGAGGAGCTGGCAGGTGAGAAGCCCACTGAACTCAAGGAGGGGCAGGAACAATATCAGGCCCTGCAAGTTCCAAAGGCTCTCTCTGCATTGCCAGGTAGAAGCAGGATCTCTCCCTCCCCCCCCCCTGCTTTGGAGGACCTTTTCAGCTTTTCCTGACTCCAAGGCGAAATCCCTCCCTGCGGAAAAGGGAGGTGTCCCACAAGAGCCAGGCTAGCAGGGCTTTCTCTGAGGCTGAATCCACATGATTAGGAGGAGGGGTTTTTTTTGTCCCTGGCGCAGCGTCTTCGGGGTCTTCGGTGGGCCATGACGAGTCTGACCACGTCGTCTACAGCTACTCCGCCTTCCACTTTGGGTTCTTCTTGGCCTCGCTGTATGTCATGATGACCCTCACCAACTGGTTCAGGTAGGGACGGTTCCTGGCTCACTTTGGGTTCTTCTTGGCCTCGCTGTATGTCATGATGACCCTCACCAACTGGTTCAGGTAGGGACGGTTCCTGGCTCACTTTGGGTTCTTCTTGGCCTCGCTGTATGTCATGATGACCCTCACCAACTGGTTCAGGTAGGGACGGTTCCTGGCTCACTTTGGGTTCTTCTTGGCCTCGCTGTATGTCATGATGACCCTCACCAACTGGTTCAGGTAGGGACGGTTCCTGGCTCACTTTGGGTTCTTCTTGGCCTCGCTGTATGTCATGATGACCCTCACCAACTGGTTCAGGTAGGGACGGTTCCTGGCTCACTTTGGGTTCTTCTTGGCCTCGCTGTATGTCATGATGACCCTCACCAACTGGTTCAGGTAGGGACGGTTCCTGGCTCACTTTGGGTTCTTCTTGGCCTCGCTGTATGTCATGATGACCCTCACCAACTGGTTCAGGTAGGGACGGTTCCTGGCTCACTTTGGGTTCTTCTTGGCCTCGCTGTATGTCATGATGACCCTCACCAACTGGTTCAGGTAGGGACGGTTCCTGGCTCACTTTGGGTTCTTCTTGGCCTCGCTGTATGTCATGATGACCCTCACCAACTGGTTCAGGTAGGGACGGTTCCTGGCTCACTTTGGGTTCTTCTTGGCCTCGCTGTATGTCATGATGACCCTCACCAACTGGTTCAGGTAGGGACGGTTCCTGGCTCACTTTGGGTTCTTCTTGGCCTCGCTGTATGTCATGATGACCCTCACCAACTGGTTCAGGTAGGGACGGTTCCTGGCTCACTTTGGCCACCCGGCCCCTGCCCTCCCCTGCCCACCCCCTGCAGTGGGCCTTCCGAGCTCTGCCCCCTCAGGAGGAGGCGCACCTGCCGAGGGGAGGGGAGGGGAGGGGAGGCTCACTCAGTCTCTCGCTCTCCTGGCAGCTACGAGAGTGCCGAGCTGGAGGCCACCTTCGCACACGGCAGCTGGTCGACCTTCTGGGTCAAGGTGGCGTCCGGCTGGGCCTGCGTTCTGCTCTACCTCTGGCTTCTGCTGGCTCCCCTCTGCCTGCCAGACTCACACCAGCCCAGCAGCCCCGCGCAGCGCTACATACGGAGGAAGAGGAGGCGGCGGCGGCGTGAGCTTCACCGTGTCAGCATAGCTGCATAGCCTCGGGCCGGAGACTCTCGCTGTTTGTGTGCCACAACCTGCTGCTGGATTGCCCAAGGCGGCTGATGCCCCGGGCGGGGCTGGGGAGCGACCTACCAGACGGCCTCAGCAGAGCTACCCGTGCGTGCCAAGGACACCGACATGGCTCCCGATCACAGCATACCGAGGCCCCGCCAGGATGAGCCGGCCGAGCGAGCAGGGATGTGGCTGGCCTCGTGTGCATGGACTACATGTGGGGCACGGAGAGCCAGAGATGGCGTGTGGCACCAGAGGGGTGCAGAGGTTGCATGCGAAGCCGGCAGAGCCAAGGAGAGGAGCCGCACCGAAGCAGGAGGGGGGTTCCCCCCACCTTGGACACTGGAAAAGTGGGCTGGGTTGGGGGAAGGCGGGTCCCGCCAGAGGAGAGGAGGAGTGGCTGTCTTGGACATGGAGCTGGTCCTGCCAATAAAGTCGCCCTTTGCTCTCCTGCTGCTGAAGGCCTCCCTTCTCATCTGTCCCAGGCTGCCTGAGCGAGGGGGGGGGGTGTCGCCGGAGGAGTAGGGGGGCGCCCCCCACTAGCTTTGTGATCAGGGGCGGATGAAGGCTCACTGGTGGCCTAAGCACTGACTGACCCATCTCGGTGCCCCCCTCCTTTCCACACTGACCCCCCAGTCCTCTTTAGTTGTTGACCTGTCTGACCAGGTATACAATGCAGGTTGCAGCAACTGACAACTGAATGTGGCTCCATCATTTTACTTTTAAACATGGCCCATGACACTGCACCTCGCCAACAAAAAGTAGAAGATAACCCTCAGGTGCACCATGATCAATTTGCTCTAGTTTTATCAATTTTTTTTTTTACAAATCTTCATTCGTTTTTTTTCCTGTTCACCCTTTCCCCAACTTTGTGGTGTGCCCCCTTTGGCCCGGGTGCCTTAAGCACGTGCTTCGCCTGCTTCATGGTTGATCTGCCCCTATTTGTGATCCTGTTTTCAGAGCAATGTCTGGGGGTTCTGAGCCCTCTTGGGGCTGGGGCACCAGCGGTTCTGGGCTCTGGTGGGCAGGAAGTGGAGGGGGGTGGGAGGCGGAGATGAAGGGGGGAAGACCCCCCCCCATTCTCAAGACAGCAGGAGAGGGCCGAGTGGCCCCTCCCCAGCTCGGGGGTCTCTCAGGGCAGCCGAGGGAGGGCAGAGCGGAGCAGCAGCAGCAGCGTAATTAAATCAGGGGATTAAGTAGCACGAAGATGGGCAGCTGCCTTGAAGGCCGTTGGCTTCAAGCTGATTAGCTTCAAGCTGATTCTCCGCTGCTGCTGCTGCTGCTGCTGCTTCCGTTGCAAAGCAAATCTGGTTCTTCCGCTTGATTTCACTGTCCTGATTCCCCCAAAGAACCCTGGAACCAGGAGCCACGGAAAGCAGCTGGAAACCCTGTCTTTGCGGAACTACAGTTCCTAGCATTCTTCGGTAGGCAGGTAGGCAGCCCAGCCGGCAGGGCAGGTTTGAAGAACAGGTGGGTTTAGGATGGAGGGTAGCAAGACGGCGGCAGGTGACGGAGCGGGGCCACACGAGGGCCTTTCTGCAGGCAGACCCAGCTCAGACCCTCCCAAAGCATCAGCCGCTAAATCCCTCCCAGGATTCACTTCCGGATGGGCCGGCCGCTGGGCTGCTGTAGGAGAGTTTGCTTGATTGGCAGGGGGTGACTGCCACACACACACACACACACACACCCATGGGCAAGGGCATGGCTGGAGCTCACGAGCTGTCTCTCTGCCCGCCCGCCCCTCCGCCTGCAGGAGCAAAAGGCCCACGGCAGCAGGGCTCAGATTAGCATCAGTGGGTGGCACACGGGGGGGGGGGGTCCCCCAAAGACCACCAGACCTGGGCTGGTTTCTAGCCCACTTTTCTCCCCAACGGGGGATTCAAAGCGATCTAGGACGCTGTAGTACCGTGGCTCTGGTCCGGTGCTTGAAGGCAGCAGTTGAGTGGAAGTGGAGAACAAGCCGAGAGAGAGAGAGCGGGGCTGCTGGCCGAGGCGGACCAGGGTGCACGGGATGGGCTGAGAGACACGCTTGCTTGTTCCTAGAGGGGGAGGCAAGAGGGGGGCATTGGCACTTGCGGCTGCTGTGCGGTGTGCAGGGAGCCAGCGAGGGGGAAAAGCGGTGTAAGTCCAGGTTCCAAACCCCGCTCTTCCCGGGATGCTCGCTGGGTGACTGTGGGGGCCAGTCACACCCTCTCAGCCTCCCCTACCTCACAGGGTGGTTGTGGTGAGGATCAAACGGAGGGCAGGGGAAGGACGTCAGTCGCCCGGGGGCCCCACTGGGGAGGGAGGCAGAGTGTGAATAAAGGTGCCCACAAAGGGGGGGGGGCAGCAGCTAGGGTTGCCAGCTCCAGGTTGGGGAATGCCTGGAGATTGGGGGGGGAGCCACAGGAGGGCGTGGTTTGAGGAGGGGAGGGTCCTCAATAGGGTCTCACGCCCTAGAGTCCCCCTTCCCAAAGCGCTCATTCCCTCCAGGTTAAGTGATCTCTGTCACTGGGAGATCTCCAGTCACCACCTGGAAGTTGGCAACCCTAGCAGCAGCAAGCTCGGGGGGGTGGGGGCACGTGGCTCGGGGGAAGAGGACCGAGCAAAGGAGGAGTCCTGAATTTGCTGCCCTCTTTCTCCCTTGCGGTACTAAGAACACTCAAACATAGGAATCGGTGCCCTCGCAGAAGACATCTAAATGAAACCCGGAAGACTCTCTTACTTTCGTCCAGTAGACTGGTGCGCTGCCCCCCCCCCCCCCCCCACACCCAGTTCAGCTGCTCTCTCGATTCCTTTTTTTGCGTGTGTGTGTGTGTGTGTGTGTGTGTGTGCGCGCACCCGCATGCCCCCCGCCTGGAAGTCATGGCGACCTCTGGTGACTCCTCCTGGGGCACGGGGGACATTCAGAGAAGTGGCTTTGAGGGCCTGCCTCTGGCCTCCCGGCCCTGGCATTCTCTGGAGGTCTCCCAGCCAAGGACCTGCCTGGGTCGGTCCTGCTTAGTTTCCCAGATGTGACGGGATCGGGCTTGCCTGGGCTGTCCAGGCCGGGGCTGGCTTCTCTCTCAATTTTGTACTTACTTTCTTTTCTACAAGAACTAAGCCTGCCGCTGGCTTGACAGGTTAAAGAAGGAACTCTTTCTGACGATGCAGTCCTCTGCACAGCCAGTCCAGGCGAAGCCCAACAGTGTCAGCGGACTTAACTGGAGCAGCTCTGCATAGGAGTGCACAGTCAGGCCGTGTCCCAAGGAAGAAATCTTTCTTCGTTAAACCCTTTGCAGATGGTGTGTTTTTCTGTCCACGTCCCCCGCTTCCACACTGGTTTAAAGTGAATTATTATTCCTGATGCACCATAAATGCATGTTGTGCTTCAGACCATAAGACTCAGAGGGGTGGCCTCTGCTCCCCAAAAGTTTACAATCTGAATTTAGGCGGTGGAAGAGAGCAGAGAAAGGGATGGGAAGGAAGCTGGAAGGAACAGACATCCCCCAAAGCCCCCCCCCCAAGCCCTTCAAAACTGAGCCACGGTTGGCACTTCGATCATCCAGGGTCTAGGGTCCCCCCCCTCCCTTGGGGCTCCTTTTTCAGGGGCTTTGGGGGATGCCATTCAAATGTTACAAAAGGGTGGATTACAATAAAGGGCCTCAGGCACATCTGCACAAATATGGGGCCTTGAATAGAAGCAAACGGAGAACATGGAAGAGAGCCAGACTTCAGCGTCTGCATGAGATAATTTTAAAATACTGTATTTTAAAAATACTCAAAACCCAAAGCCAGACAGTACCTTTTATTAACATTGGTAACACCAACCGATACCACACCGCACAGGATACAAGCTTAAAAGCTCTTCTTCATCGATCTCCATCAGGCGGGATGTTAGAAAGCAGACAGAAAGCCCGGGGGGGGGCAGGCGTGGGGGCGGGGGTCTCTCTGAATGTTTCACGGGAGAGAGCTTTGCAGTGCAACCCTAATCAGGCTGCTTACTCAGAAGTAATTCAAGGGAGCTCGGTGGGGCTTCCTGTCCAGTAAGTGCACTTCCGGTTGCATCCTTTGTGTTCTTCTACGTCCGGAGGGAAGCTAACGAGGTAACGGGACACACGGACACACACACACACACACACACACACACTCCCCGAGCACAGCAACAGCTCAGCTCTCTCCCCTCATATGTCTAGATGCTGCATGCTTGCTTTAAAAGGTGACAATGTAAGCGTCAGATCTTCATGGATCCCTTTTTCAGTACCCCGCCAGAATCCCGCATCAGTTATAGACCTGCTCAGGGCCCCCCAACTTCAACTCTATCATAAAAATCACATTGACCCCCCCCTTTCACTCCTCCTCTCCCTGGCTGGGCCCCATCAGAGGAGCCCGGAAAGAGCCCCGCTGGGTCTGCTCCGTGGTCCCTCTAGGCCCACGTCCTGCTCCACAGGACGACTGACCAGTTTATCAGCAGCCACGGAATCCATCGTCAGTGAAGACCATGAGAATCCTGAACACTTGGACCAGTGGGGCTTGCGAGTGCTGGAGTGGGTGTGTATAAATCTATATACTATTAGCCACCCGTGGCCTCCATCTGTGGATAGCTAAATCCACGGATCAGGGCCACACGGAGGCTAAACAGATGTTTCGGCAAACAGAGGGGACCCCTTAGGTCTGCAGGAAAATCTGACTTAAATAAACCAGGGGGGTTTAAATCCTCCCCCAATATAAAAAAGTGTTCTCTGTGCAAGTGCAGAGAACACACCTACCTCTGGGGCAGGGCAGCCTCGGAGCCACGCTGGGCCCGGCGGTGGAGGCGGAACAGCCTGGGAGGGAAGACCGTGCTGGGGGGAGGGAAGCGTCCCCTCCCACCCTGGGCTGTGTGTGGAGACTTGCAGAGAGCAGCGCGGGGGGGGGGGAATTCTTGGCTCACCTGGAGCTGCTGCCAGGATGCCACAGAAGTTGCTGGGCAGCCCAGGGCTCCATGCTGGGCTCAGCCAGAGAGTGGGGGGGGGAGATGGGATCCCCCCCCCTTTGAGTGGTGGGTTAGGGTGGGGCTGATGCCTCCAAGCTACTCCCTGGCTGGTTCTCCACTGTGTGCATCCACCTGGGGCAGCCTTTAGCCCTGAGGTGTTCTCCTTCTCCTCCTCCTCGCCAAGAATGAAGACAGTTGAATTCCTGCAGGCAGCCATGCATGCCCCAAAGCCATTTCCAGGGGAGACTCAGGTAAGGAGCCGCAGATCAGCTCAGGTGTGGCATAGCAACAGCTGCTGAGAAAACCGGGCTGCGAGAAACAGATGCAGCCATCCAAACAGCTGCGCGAGGCAATTCGCTCACGTGGTGGGA